CCGATGCAAAATAATTCCCTAAAACACATCAGAATTACGTGGTTTAAGGCTTCCGTGGGCCACTGGCGTTTCATGCTCCCCGCTGTTCGCATTCCCCCTTCCCTTTGCCTGTATAAGCGCATCCTTCGTTCCTTTCTGTTTGTCCCATCTCTTGTCTGAAGCTCGTCCCCACGTGTCCTGCTTCCCCATCCTGCTGGGGATGCGTTTGATCCTGGAAAGGAGTGCTACGACCCTTCACTGTGTGCAAGCTGCACAGAGACCCCTCTGCCTGCGGCACCAGCCAGGCTGCAAACTGGGTTTTTGCACCTGAATCCAGCTTTTCCAGTGTCCTCGTGTGAATCGAGATTAGTAGGATTATGAACCTGGATGCTCGGGTTGCTTCTTGAAATTTTGATTTGTCGGCACAATCGGGTCTTACTACGCTGCGAGTAGGAGCTCTGCCCGAGTTGTGCGTAGGCCTGAAGGCGTTGGCAATGGGCGTATGAGCATAAATCACTTCCTCACGGCTGTGCTGAAGTTTGGGAGCTTGGAAAGACACATCCAGGTTAGGTTGATGGAGCGTTCTGTAATAAGGGGACAGGCTGCAAGCAGAAAGCCAATTAAGCTGCAGTGGGTCAGAGCTGTTTTTAAGCTGGTGCAGGGCACCAGGCTGGTAATGAGTTGTGCCGGCGTGTAAATAATGGCCCCATGCTACTACAGCTAAAATGGGGATGGCCTTGTTGTTTGGGTACAACGCTTTGAGATCACTTAGTCTTTGTAGATTTTTTGTGTGTGTGTGTTCGTTCCTTTAACAGCAGTTCACACTCTCTCCCTTACTGAAATACGTGCAGGATGTGAGCTACCTTTGAATCACAGAATCATAGAATGGTTTGGGTTGGAAGGAACCTAAAAGATCATCTAGTTCCAACCCCCCTGCCATGGGCAGGGAAACCTTCCCCTACACCAGGTTACTCAAAGCCTCATTCAACCTGGCCTTGAACACTTCCAGGGATGGGGAGCATCCACAACTTCTCTGGGCAACCTGTTCCAGTGCCTCACCACCCTCAGAGTGAAAAATTTCTTCCTTATATCTAATCTAAATCTCCCCTCTTTCAGTTTAAAGCCATTGCTCCTTGTCCTATCACTCCATGCCCTTGTAAAAAGTCCCTCTCCAGCTTTCTTGTAGGCCCCCTTTAGGTACTGGAAGACTGCCATGAGATCTCCTCAGAGCCTTACTCTTCTCCAGGCTGAACAACACCAACTCTCAGCCTGTCTTCGTAGCTCCAGCTGTTAATGTTTTTCTTGTGCACTAGGGCAGCTTGAGTAAAGATAGAGGAGGAGAGTTTGGGATACTCTTCTTGTTTGTGCTTAACAGAAAGCTCAGCCTTATGGAGTCACCTGTTTGGGATATTGCTTTCCTTGGTAAGATGGGGCAAAAAAAAAGGAGATAGTGAGGAAAAATAAAAGCATATGGCGTCTTTAATCTAAGATACCATATTCTTTGGGGAAGTTGGAAAAATTACTTACCATGATGCAAGCTATGAACCTGGTGATATGTTTGCTGTTCTTCAGCATGTGCCTGCATCTCGATCTTGTCAATTACAGATAGAGAAAATGAGGGGGAAAATGCAAGCAAACACATCGGCATGATGCTGAATAGGTGGCATGCTGGAAATTGACATAATAGCTGTTTTTTTGTACGATTGTGCCATACTTTCAGTGAGTTGCATGGATCAGGATGATCTCCTTTCCCTTTTCATCTGTGAGAATTGAATTATTATAAATGAGTTGTCAGTGCTATTTAATTATTGTTGGTTTTTGTTAACATCCTGTTTTATATCTCGTAGCTGAAAGTCATTGCTATTGATGAGCAGCTGAGAGTCGTTTATGAGGATAATGTTCATTTTGATAAAGACCTTCCAGAATTTAAGTAAGACTTTTTGTATTTTACTTGGATAATATAATGTAGAATGTTGGGAATTGGGGCAGGGAGGCTGTTGCCTTATTTGATTTTATTGATATGTGTGAAGGCATGGAAAAAGTTCATGCCATGTCCATGTTTCATACTTGGCAAGGATAGTATATGCTCTTGCATTCTTTGGTGTGTAAAAATGGCAAGAACTCCCAACAGGAAATAAGTGGGGGAAAAAAAAAAATCTACCTCAAAGTATTATATATAAATAAACTAATTTTTTTTCTGTGGGACTTCAAACATGTGGACATGACTGTTTCTTTTGGGGACACAGAAGTAAGCACTGCCTTTGTGTCTGGGTGGAATGCTGTGATAATTGCATGAGGGGAACTTCTAAAAGGCATTTGGAGACAAATTCAGTGGTTCCAAATCTCACAAGAGGATGCAGGGTGACAGTATTTGTTTACTTCAGTTAACAGACTAGAATTTACAAATGTCCTCCTCCATGGTCACAAGTTTCAATTGAGCACATTTACTTACTTGATGGTTTAACAGCAAAAATGGAATTTCGTCTTCTAGATTAAAGCGGCTAACGGTGACAGTTAGGAAACTTAGAGACAGCTATGAATTACATGGAGCCAATGAGCAGTATCAGCATTGTAATCTGTCACAGATCTTACTTGAGGATCACAGCTTTTCTTCGCAGATTATTTACTTTGCAATTGGGTCAAACATCTCTTACGTCACCTCCTAGGAGCTGGCTTTTGCCTTTTTCAGGTTCGAACACTGATTGTGTCCTTGCTTTTAACATAAAAACATTGCAGACTCACTTTGGTTATTAATAAATTTGAAGAACTTTGCTTGGTGGGGAAAAAATTGCTTAATTTACTAAAAGAAAAGACTGTTTTTCTGTAGGACTCAAGGTGGAGTCTATATTCACAATGACAGACTGACAGTCACTTCTCCAGTGCTAATGTGGGTCAAGGTAAGAAGAAACTTTTCTATAGTTGAGCTTCTTCCTTGCTGTTATTGAAATGCAAAGGCATTTCCTATGATTCTATTCTATGATTCCATTTTCTATGATTCTATGATTTCCAGCAGTCGTGAAACTCGTCATTCAAATCAAAGTAATCCTTGTGCTTGTGTTCTGTTTCTTTTTAGTGTTATTCTGTGTCTTTCGTGCAAATATTAACATTATCAACAGAGGTAGTGGAAGTTGCTAACATTTTGAGAGTTTTTTGTTTGTTTATCCACTCTTTACTATTGCAACATTGTATGTGTGATTAACCCTTTCCTGACTTTCCCTCATTTGAAAAAAGAGTATTCTTTTTTCCTTCATCTTCTTGTTTCATACGCAAAAGGGGCAGCTGTCACTTTGCCTTTCTGTGATTTTTGTAGCATCCAAGTTACTTGCATTATTTTTTTTTAGAATAAGCTTTGCTAACAAGTTATGTCACAAATGGTAAGTGGTTAAAGAGCAATTTATTCGGTGATTCCCAGTCACTTTGACTGGTGTTTGTTTTGAAATACAGTGTGGATACTAAAAAGCTAGAAGCAGAGAAATTTTCCAGCTGCTGCAGCATCCTGTGAAAGTTCTTTTTCCTGTGCAGGCTAGCTGAGAAACAGTTTGAGGTTTTTGTAAACTAAGACTTTATCTTGTACCTGTAGATTGTTATGCAGTCTTGTTTATGGTACACTGGGAAAGTTGTTTTGAAATGGGTGTCGGAGCATTCAGCCAATCACTCTGGGAGGTGAATGGTCAAGCGACCAATTGCCTTGGCCCTTCTTGCGAACCACGTTATATATACGGATTTGTAATTAATTAAATAATGGCATTTTCTCCTGGACTTGAATTCTATGTCATTCTTCTCTCTGTCCTCGGTACAATACAGCATTCTTTTCTATTTTAAAAGAAAGCCTTCCTTGCTTCTGTGCAGATTCTGCCACACTTGATCTCACGTGGTACTATGTAAATTTGTCTACTAGTGTGATTTGAATAGTTGAGATATTTGAAAAGTCACAGAACCCCCAGCTGGTGATCCGCAGTAGTTGACAAAGGTTTGGTAAATTTGCTGGCAGTTGGTCTCTTGAGCCATAATGAACAGGAACAGTTGTAATATTAAATTAATAATAAGATGATATAGGTATATGGTGTGTCTTGGGAAATTTTGAAGTCTAGCAGTGGTCCATTTGTCAAGATAGTCTGGGAAATGCTGATCCGATTGAGACTATGTGAAGATAGATTAATTTTTGGTTTTAAACTTCAGGAAAATGTGGCAAGAACAAAATTAACCTGAATGCTTAACGTGCTAAAGTTCACCTGAATTAGCCTTATATTAAAGAGACCCTGAGATTTCAGCTGACACTGTGGGTGGTGGTATTGAGGATAACAACATATTGTAGGATGGGGTGCAGGGTGCATCCCATGAAGATTTCATAGATTTCCAAAAGTAAGAACAGAAAAAGAGAATCCTGCTTTGTGTCTAGCACTCTGGAAAGTATCTTTTTATTGAATTGGAATTCTTTAACTACTAGATGACCTTTGAAGGTCCCTTCCAGCCCTAACAATTCTATGATTCTATGAACTCTTGCCTCTTATTTAGATTTCAAAGAATAGATCTTTGTGATTCAACTTGTTTAAAGATTTATTTTTTTTTTCCCCTGTATGTTTCAACCTTTCTTTTGTGGACTCTTAGTAAGTTAATTTATGCAGCTGCTTGAGAAGTCCATTGCCATTAGCTAATTTTTCATTATCTGCCAATGAACTCTTATCAGTGATGAAATGAATTTACTGTTTAATTCCAGAGATTGTGAGTGTGCATAATTTCATAGCTCATTACAATTGTTCTTGATTCTGCTTGTTCTTGTAGGCTCTGGATATGATTTTGGAAAAGATGAAGTCTGCGGGCTTTAACTTCTCTCAAGTCAGAGCTTTGTCTGGTGCTGGCCAGGTTAGTTTACATTGAAAAAAAAATCAGTCTTACTATATTTCTTCAACAGAGTATAAAGTATAGTGATAAATTTCATTTAAATAATTGTATCGCAGAAGACCATAATGACATCAAGTAAAACCAAAGCTTCTATATAAACATCCGTTCAAAGACACGTTCCTCAGGGGAAATTAAAACCTGAAGCACACAGAGCAGTCACTGGAAGGTGGTGGGAGTGGAGGATGCGGTTTACAGCGCGATTGTTTAGATCAATATAGTGCATAACGAGTTGATTTCCTGTTGTTTAAATTCTCTGTACATACAGATTCTGAAATGACTGGGATCGGTTTGAATTTCAGCATATCCAGGTGCTTGTGGAAATGGAGTAGAAAAGATAGCAAGGAGCAGTTTACTAAAGGCACAGTGACATCCTGTTGAGCACGGTTTTTGTTGGTTAGGGTAGGGATCCGCCTAGGAATGACAAAAACCGAGTTACGACAGTCTTTGCAGAAATGCCAGAGATGCTGCCATGATGTAGCCTGTAGTGCGTAACGCCTTTTTAATGAGATTTATAAAACCCATCCTGAGACTTAGTCAGTTGGCCGCTCTCTTAGCAATCCGGTGAAACAAGGAAGTCTTTTATAACTTTCACAGATCATATCCGGGGTGAGGACAGCAACAAAGCGATAGCTAATTCTGACGCATGAGGTTTAGGTTGTTCATCTTGATATATAGGGGACTAATTAATCAAAACTCGTGCTTTGATTTCTGTGTTTCTTTGATTTCAGTTGAAAGTCTGAGCAAAGTGTCTGAAAATCGTAGCTGGTATCAAGGCTTTGTTATGAATTCTTCAGTGGAACAGAAGTTAGGGACTGCCAAGTAACCTCAGCCTACTCAAGTGAAAAAAAGAAGTGCATTTCCAGATTGCCTGTATTCCCTTTATTTTACCCATCCTCCAACAAGTTAGGAGTATCAACTTGATGCTAAATTCAGATTCTTTCAGGTAGAACAAATTTCATTTAGTTGCCCCATTCCAACCCATATTGCCTCTCTCCCTTTTCTCTTTGAAGTACCTTGTCTTTATGCTGCAGATCACTGCAGAGGTGCACTGATGTGCCAGTATTTGTCCCAAAGAAGGGAGAAACTTGGTCTCAATTGTCTGCAGAAAAGGCAGAGAGATGTGAAATACAATCTGGATGAGACTGTGGTCAAGTACTCTGTGCCCAGGGGTTTCTGCGTGCGCTTGGTGTCATCAGAACTGTTAGTGGGTCACTGGATGGTGCTTTGCAGTTGCCTAGGGTGTCCTTGGCTTGAGGAAGCCACCTGAGAGATGGAGCTTAAATATCCTTCTCAATATTAGGCAGTCTGTTAGTGGTGACTGGGGCAGGCATGTAACTGAAGGACCTGGAGGCTGTGCTGAAATAGCACAGAACTAACAGTCCTTACTGTGGAGCCCTGGCTACAGCTCAAAGAGCCCTCAAAGAAATATCTAAAGCCATTAGCAATATAGTAATAGTTCCCACTAGAAGTTGCTATAGTTCAAAATCATCATTGTCTCTTGGCTTCTACGTTTTCTGATTCAGTATATGCTTTGCTCAATCCTAAAGAGTCTTAATGAGGCACTTGATTTAAAAGGTGTATTTTTTGGTCCTCTTTTGAAGACAGTTCTCTGTCCCTTTGAGTTTTAAATTCAGATCAGGATATTAACTTTGTGGCTTGGGAGGGCATCTCCAACTTCTGTTTCTGTGCTTTCTACAGCAACATGGGAGTGTGTACTGGAAAAAAGGAAGCATCCACATTTTAAAGAATGCATCATCTGATCTGCCTTTACATCAGTCACTAAAGGTAACGTGCGTAAAAGAGGACTGAAGGGAGAGCTGTGCTGTCCTTTTTCTGATGCTTACATGTTGTTTTTCTCCTTGCAAACTTTTCCTCTTGTTTGGCTGAGTTGCATGCCCCTGCAGCATAAAGTGAAATGTACTGGTTATTCCTTCAGCTCCAGGGCTTTTGACGCTTCCTTTTATCCTGAGTGACAGTATGTGCTGCTTTAAAAGCTTACAGGTGCCAGTGGGTGTCCCAGAATCTTTCTGTGTCAGGGTAACAGCCTGTTTGTTCTTTTAGGAAACGTAATACTTTTGTAAATAGCCTGTAAATGTTTTACTTTTTTTTTTAATATATTTGTATTAACAAAAAATTGTGGTGAAAAATACCATTGTACCTGAGTTTCCTCGCAATGCTTGCAATTTCGTTAGAAAAATATTAAAAAAAAAAAAGAAAAAAGAAAAAAGACCGATTTACACATACCTCTGAAAGGATGGAACTGTATTGCTGTGTGGGCACAAACTCCTAACTAGTACCTTGTTGAACTTCAACTTTCTATGTATACACGTGTGTGGTTGGTAAGTTTTGGACATAGACTTGTCAAACTTTTATTTAAAAACAAAAGTAGGGAGGAATCAACTTTCCTCTTGAAGACTCTTACCTTCCTTACTTCAAGATCAGAAAGGACAGTTGTATGTTGAAAGGGAGACATTTGTGTAACTGATCAGTTGAATGATTAATTTTTGAAATATCTCATCTGTGCAGAAATGGAATGGAAATGTCTCATGGAAATGGAATTAAAATGCTCTCTGGTGTACTAAGCCTCAGTTGCATTTCCAAATGGTTATGCCAGTCATTAAAGAGAAATTTGTTAGTAGGACTGTGGAAAGATAATCTTACTGTTTAGAGAGGAGCTCTAAGAAGTGGAGCTAAACTTGCATAAAAGGGACCAGGACTTTGGCCACCGACGGAGCATACTGAGACATCGTGCTGCAGCTTACGTCAAGTAGCAGCAGCAGAAGCCTGTTGTTTCCCTCTGGTGTGAAGTGTGGGTTAAACTTTTCACCACTGACCAACATGCTGCCCAATATCCTCTTTCCTTTAATTCTCCAGAGGAGACCAGAAAGCATGTCAGAGAGCTGAACTGTGAGCCGATACGTAGGTCTGCTGTATTGCTGTTACTCTAGCAGGGACTTCTTAGAGATCGGACTTACTAATAAAGGATATTCTTTGTTGCAGGCTTGTTTTTCTGTCAGCAACAGCCCCATCTGGATGGATTCGAGCACAGCTTCCCAGTGCAGCGCTCTGGAGAAAGCGGTGGGGGGAGCACAGCACCTAGCAAGTATCACTGGTTCTCGAGCCTACGAGGTAAGGAGCGGAGGGGAAGAAAGTCCTCGGCAGTCTCCTGATAGAAACAATTCTGCCATCACGGTGATACCGTAGCAGATAATCATAGAATCATAGAATCATA